TAAACCAAAACCCAGGATTTCTATACAACCAGATTGGCCTGGAGTGTACTATCCTCCTGCTTCAGCCCTCTTGGTTCTGGGTATATGCTATTTATGCATAGGAAAGGAATAAAAATAACAACAGTTCCAATGGAAATGGATATCACCAAGACCAACTTGGTAAACCAGTGAGTTGGACTGTGGTGACTTGCTGGAATTGACTCGAAGACAGCGGGATCACCAAAGCCACCACACCATGAATGACAGACAGCCCAGGAAAGCTGGAGACTGGCCCCACACTGCACAACCCGAGGGCAGCTCAGCAGTCTGGAGCATCTCCTTCTGGCAGTTTATGTGGTCTGAGTCTTTTGCAGCTAACTCAGCAGAGCTCTGAGCTCTGCTTTTTCTAGAAGGTGGCTCAGCTGGCATGAGTGTGTATTGGGTACAGAGGAAGGCCTTACTGTTATGCTTGGGGAGGGACCTTGTAAATCTGGTTGGTTTCAGGGACTTCCTGAAGTTATTGAAGTCTGCTTCCTGAGCGTAAGGAGCTTCCCTGCAGACTGAGTTCCATCTCTTTTAGGTTATGCTTAGAACTCCAACATGGAAGGTTTTCTTTGGGGAAAAAAAATTTATTGCACAATGAACCCTTCCCAAGGTAGCTTTCCCTCATGTCCTGAGCCCCCCCTTCCTTTGGAAAGGGGTACCCAAATGGGCACTTCTCAGCTTCTATTGAGAAGCTATGGAGCGGCTTATATTGCCTGTTGTAGCGATCATGTGTGACACTGGCTTCTGAACCCCGCTAGCCGTATCCCCTGGTTTCCGCCTTGCCCTTCATCAAGCCCACACGTCTCATTTCATCGTCTGTAGCTGTCGATTGAGATTCCTGTCTTGCTTTCGCACATCTACAGGGTCCGCCTGGACACCAGAACGTACTCCTAAGACACGAATCTGCATAACTTCCCACTTAAAAATTCTCCAAGTGACTTCATGAAGTCCTTGGTGTGGCATTCAAAGTGCATCATGATCTGATTATCAGTCTCTCATGGACAGTCCCATCTCGGGTCTGTCCCATTCCAATGTTGTTCCTTCTCTATATTCCCAGAAAGACATTTCCCTGCGGCTGTCTCCAGTTAGCACCTGCTGTCTCTTTCTCTAGTCTGCCTCCCTTCTCTTCCCCCTCTTCCTCCCTCTCCTCCTCCCATTCCCCCTTTTCCTTCTCCCCCTTCTCATCCTCCTCTCCTCTCTGATTCCTCCTCCTCCTCCCCTCTTTCTCCTTATTCTCCCCCTTCCCCCTCTAGGGTCTGTTACCAGCTCAATCTGGGAAGCCAGAACACCCTCCCCTATGAGTGGGGTGGGTTCCCTGTCTCTCTCATTGACATTTTATTCCTCCAGTTGCTCAAATGTCTTGATATAGCACTTGCCGTGTGCCAGGCCCTAGGTGTGACATGGTGCAAAGGAATATTCTACCTTCTCAAGGCTTGTCCACCTCCACTGGGGTAGATGACTGTTGTGTCTCTACTGCGAGCTTCTTGGGGACATGTCCCTGTGGCGTTCCTTCATCCCCAGCATAGGAAGAGCTCACAGTGGTGCTTTCTAGAAGGGTCAGGACATGCGTGCCAGAGATCATGGTTTCCTCGGCATTCCTTAGGCATGCCCAGTCTGCTACACCAGGCACCTGGTCATTGCAAAACAGGGACCTGGGGGACTGATGGGATGGAGCAGTTGGAAATGGCATGAGGAGCTGCTTTTAGATGCCCAGCACCCACATAGAAAGTTAGCCGTAGTGATAATTGACTGTAACCCCAGCCCTGGATAGGTAGGGAGACAGATCCCTAGGACTCACAGGCCAGTCAGTTTATAATAAGTGGTGAACTCCAGGCTCAGCAAGAGAACCTGCCTGAGAAAATAATGAGGCTGAGTAAGGCAGACACCTGCCGTCAACTTCTGGCACACATGAACACACACACACACGCACACACATATGCACACACATGTACATAAGCACACACTTTTTCACATGTGTATACCCACAGTCCCCTCCATCCCCCACATGAAATAAAAAGATAAATTAATTTAAATGGTGAACATCTGGGCTGCTTTGGTGATGGGAGGCAGAAATGCCCCCAAACACTCTGACTGTTCCCCCAGCATCTCTACATCATTAAATCAACAACAGCAAAAACAAAACGCTTAAACCCAGAAACCTGGTGACTTGGCTATAACTGGGCTGGGGTATTTTGTGGGTTCACTTATGAGTTGAGGTGCAGAGTCTTTCTGCTCCTGGGCCCAGCTTCACAGATAGAAGCGCCTGGGCTCGCAGGCTGAGCTCAGGTCAGACAGCCACCAGCCTTTTCTCCGCAACTGTTCCCCTGACCTTGGGGAGAATCACTTCCCAAATTACAGCCTCCGCTCTGGGAGTGTTAAACACAGCGCGGAGAACACATAAATTACATAAGGCCCTTCCCATTGCCGCTGGGTGCCTGAAATAATGTCACATTTCTCCAAACCAAAAGGTACACTGTATTATTAAAACAGGCTAGCATTAAAAAAAGAAGTGTAGCCACGGTGGCTGTCAGACTCCCAGATGCCAGAATAATAAACCCGGAGACAGGATTCATAAGGCGCGAGGGGAGTGAAGGGTGAAGCCGGTTTTGCAAGAGCGGTTTTAAAATGGGAGGAGGAGGAGGCTCATTTTCTCAGAATATTGTATATTCCCTGTAATCTTTACTACTGAAATGCGGCACACTGTGTCTTGTTTTCCTCCTGGTTAGAGGCACAGTGAGTTGCGCTTTCTGGGCTTGAGAGTCATTTTAAACTCTCCTGTTGTCCTTAGTCTGTGTGTCGTTGTGTGTGTGTGTGTGTGTGTGTGTGTGTGTGCGCGCACGTGTGTGTGTGTGCGTGTGTGTGTGTGCGCGCGCGAGATGTAGCCCAGGCTGGTCTCGTACTTGCTGTGCAGACAAGGATGACCTTGGATTCTTAGTCCTCCCGCCTCCACCTCCGGAGTGAAAAAGTCCCTCTCTGGCTCCCCACCTCCGTCTCCCCCTCCATGCCCTTCCTTCCTTTCATCTTGAATCCTATAAATAAAGCCACTTCCTCAGGTGAACTTTTAATTTATAAAGAATTAGTGATATCTCAGTCTGCCCTTGGGTCCTCCAGGCCATGTGGAAGCTCTTTTCGGGGAAAATCTGTGCAGGCTTTGAGGCTGGGCCTTTCTCCACAGGAATTTGTTTCTGTTACAAAGTCTAGGGATATGGCGGTCTTCTCTTGCCATGTAAAATGTGGAGGGAGTGTCATTTTCTTTGCCAACAGTGGCCAGCTATAACTCTTCTGTGACTCTTCATACTTCAGTGACTTTGGGTTCCTGGAGTCAAAGGTACAGCCTGTACTCTAGTATGTGTGTGTGTGTGTGTGTGTTGTGTGTGTGCGTTTGCGTGCACATGTGTGTTTATACGTGCACATGAATATGCAGGGGGCACCGTGGGAACGTAGAGTTCCCCCCTCACCCTCCCTGCAGCTGCTAGCAGACTACCCTTTGTGGGTCAGCAATGATCATGCCTTGTGTATTCCTCAGCTCGATGATCAACTTGCCCGACCCAGATTTAGGGCCTGGTACTGCACACCGTGGGGCACTTACAGCACACACGGGACACAGTAACTGCTTCCGAGGGCGAGGAAGACTCAGTTCTGCCCCTGACAGATGAGACCCTGTTGCTACCAAAAGTAGGAGCAGCAGGACTGTGGCCTTGATCCTGGGCTCTGGAGACCCCAGGTACCCAACCCTTTTCTTCTATCTCAGCCAGTCCTGGCCTGGCTCCCCTTCTCACCTTGCCACAGTCCTCTGACATTGCAGTGGGGATTGTCAGAGTGGCGTCTAAGACTAGCAATCCCGTAGGCGGGGATCCATGTCTGCGCAGAGTACAGTGGGGTGTGGCGGGGGCTTCAGGCCTGCAGCCTGTGTCCAGTGCTGTTCTGTGCAGTGGGTGATGGATGGTGCTTCACATTGTGCAGTGAAGAAAACGTGTCTCTATAGTGGAGAACAGGCTGCTAAATCATCTCCCACTCAGCTTGGATCAAAGAAACCAAAACAGCCTGGGTCTTTTTGTGGGCAGGGCATCACTGGGGCAGCTGTGGGATGGTGAAGATTTTTATAGAGGGGTCTGTTCCTAGATGGTTTTCCTGGGGAAATGCTACATGTAGAGTCTCTGGGATTGGAGCGGGGAGAAAGCTATGCAGATATGAAGGGAGACGCACTCCATATGGCAGTGGGTACACAGTGTGGCATGGGCCTCAGGAGGGATATTCTGGAGGGAGTGTGGCAGGAGAGGTTCCATATCTCAAGGGTCCTATAGGCATTGGACGATTCACCATGCTACCACCTGTGGCAGTGTGTGTAGCCACGCGAGAGGCGGGGCCTTTGCACTGTATCTGTCCTCTGGTCTCATTTGCTTAGTACCTCGAGTCCTGGGAGCCTGGAGCTCCTACAGACTAAGTTTCGCCATGGTCACTGAAGCAATGTTGGGTGTTTCTTCCAACTGACTGTCCTGGAGGGGTGTGGCTCAAGTGGGGGTGCCATCTGACCAGTCCCACTAAAAGAGGGGCACGAGGTGTCTGTATGTGACGGTTAGATGGAGGGGGCCTGGAAATGAGGCTAGAAGGGGAAAGGGGAGAAGATGGGGAACAACTTGGTGGGAGATAAGCCACAAGGGGAGTGGGCAATCAGAGGAAGTGGGCACCAGGATGCTGAGAGGGCAATAGCCCGGGCAGATGGCAGAATGACTGAGCGTGGTGCCCGGCACTGTGGTGCTAATGATGTGTCCTCCTGGAGACAGTCAGTTCCTCCCTGAGGCAGTCAGAGACTAAGCCCTCAGTGGAGGGGTGAGGGGGACTCTGATCCCCAGCCGCTCTTGGCTGCTGCCCCTTCTCTTTGGTTTAATGCCTGCGTTTATTTCATATTAAGGGGAAGTGAGTACATCTGAGGCACGGTATTTATTTTTCTTTCTCATTTTTTTCTTTCCCTTCAGGTTGAAAAGCTACCTGGGAGAACCTAACCATCTCTTGTGACCCCGCTCTGTCTGGGTACTGCCCACCCCGAGAAAGCTTCTTTGGGTCCTTGGTGTCCCCACCGCCCTGTGACAGTAAAGGGGACAGCACTCCAACAGGTAAGGCCACGCTACTCACCTGCTCCTGCCTAGGCGGTGCTTGAGTTTGCCGTGAGAAACACTTTAATATGGACACTTCACCTTCCAGAAGGTGTGGGGTGGTGGCAGGGCATCCTGTGCGTGCGTACATTTGCAGTTCATTGTGTCTGCAGGATTCTGTGGGTTGGTTAAGTCAAGAAGAGTCAACGCTCCCCAGGAAAGTGCGGGGTTGACTTTGCTCTCCACCGTCAGCGTGGCTTCGGGAAGGAGAGTTGTCAGACTGTGTGGCCTGTTGCCAGCTGTCATCATGAAATGTTCCAGGGGGCAAGGTCGGGGTCTGACCCTCCAATGTAATGCCTAGGTTGCCCTGAAGCGCCGTGGGCAGCTGCAAACCTCTGTCTTACTGGTGACAAGATGCAGTTTTTTGCCCCAGGGTGGGCAACAGGTCCCTTCTGACATGAGCCACCGGGGCCAGTGTCACAGTTGCTGGCTTCAGACACAATCCACAACTTCACTTATTTTCCACGTTGGTACAGGGCCCAGGGACACCTGTGTGTCCCCCAAAAGCCCCACAGCGCTTCAGTTTTGATAGGCTCTGAGGCCTGTTTGTAGACCCCCCAAGAAAATGCTACATATATGATTTCAGTTTTATATAAATGGCACACAGGGGCAAGGGCTGTAAGAACCCTGGGTACTAACTATGTAGCTATGCTTTCTCCCTGAGACGTTAGGGAGCCCCATCCTCCTGGTCCACCTGCATGTTCACCAGCTAGGAAATACCTCAAGCTGTGTGAAGGTCAGAGGTCAGCTTGTAGGCCAACCCCACCATGTGGGTTCTGAGGAGGGAGCTCAGGTCAGAGCTTGGTGGTAAGCACCTTTGCCTAACGCACCGTCTCTCTGCTCCCCAGTGATGGCCTTGGTGGTGCCCAGGTAAAGTGGCAACCAGACATAGGGCAGTGGGTGGCTTTCCCAGAGCCCGATGCAAAAGTCTATTGGAAAGAATTACGTATGATGTTGAAGGCTCTCCAGGGGCATGCTCACCGTGCCCTCATGGGTGGCTGAAGGTCCCTTCCCTGGGTTTTCTTCTTCCACCAGGCTCCCTGGTCCCCACACTGCTCTGTGTTTCTCACGCAGCAATGGAGCTTGCCCTTTGATCATGTGACAATGTATACACTGTGTATAAAAGGGATGAGCCCTCTGTAGAGTCGGCTTTTGAGTTTTGATCTTCTCCTGGGCTAGGGGCTGTGACAAGCTGACGCAGGACAGTTGCAATTCTGATCAACCGTGTTGTCACGAGGGGAAAGAGTGACAGCAGGTTGCGCAGACGTGAGGATACTTATGAGGTCAGGCATGGTAAAGATGTCTTCGCATTTCTCCCTGGGTAATAGTTTTCCAGGGTGCATCCTGTTGTACATTGAGGTGTGCCTATGTACGAGCAACTCTGATGAGCCCAGCCCTATTTCGGACTCTGGAGATACAGAAGAAAGTCCTCACAGAGCTCACAATCTGGTGGGAGGTGGAGAGCAAGCAATGTTGGGGAAGGAAAAGGCCCCGGGGGACAAAGGAAGTAGGCTGAGCTTACCAACAATGGGGGATGCAGGACAGGGTGGTGTGGTAAAGCAAGGGAGGGAGAACCTTCCAGAAGGGGCACGTGGTGTCAGGGATGAGCTGAAGCATCTAGAAGATGGGTATGCAGGGCTGTGTGGCTGAGTGTGGAGTGGATGAAGTAGACATGAGATCCAGGGCCCTGGGCCGAGGCCAGGGGCCTTGGGGGTGGAGTGATGCTCTTCTGTTAAAACCCACAGCATCACTAAAGGGCTCTGAGTCAGGGAACGTCCCTGTGACTCAAATCTGACAATGTTGCCTTCTGCAGAGGAGGTCAAAGTTGAAGCTGGGCTCGGCTGAGGGCTGTTATGGGGCTGCTATTGTTCTTGAGTAGCAATCCGGACTGGAGACTGGACCAGAGGTGGATGTCCGGCCAAATTTGGGCTGACTCTTGTGCCATGCTGACTGAGATGGCCCTGTGAGCCTGAGTCATGCTGAGAGGCCCTCGTCACTCCCTTGTCACTCTGAGATCATGGCTTGTGGCTCCTAAGAGCCCCAGAGGAGTTGTGTTTTGCAGATGGCCTCAGGCAAGCCCTAGGTCCTGTCGCTGGATGCTGGAGCTCCTGACCCTACTCCTGGGCAAGGACAGCTGGTCCAGCTCCACCTTCTGTGTCCCCAGCAAGGTACCTCTTTGGGGCCATTAGAGCCAAAAGCAGAAAGCCTAGCTGGTCCTCAGGATGGACCTGGGAGGTCCAGGGTACAAGTGCCTTTGCGTGGAACTACTTTGTGTAGCGCACTCACGTTCTGACCCCGTGTTTTTAGAAGAAGCTGTATATCTACCTTTAGAAGTCCGGCTGTATATCTGAGAGTCTTGTCCTTCCTTGTGGTGAAGGCAAGGGGAGTGTAGACTCATGATGGTCCATCATCTGAGTGAGCACAGCACAGATGTATGTCCCAGTCACCTGTATGTGACCTAGATAGTCTGTCTTTTCATCAGCTCTGAGAGGGCAGGAGGCAGGTCTCTGAAGGAGAAGGTCAGGCACATGGGTGAGTGGCCAGGCATGTCAGGCTGCCGACTCCTGCACACACTCCCCGCACAACAGAATGATGCCCGGTGATGTTGAACACACCTCCGGGGCATGAGAAGCCCTTGCTCTGACTCCTTGGAGGAGAGCTTCTCCTAGAGTAGTTTGAGGTCAGAGATGAAGAACCTGGGCCAGAAGGGCCTGCTGGAGCTTGCGGCCTGTGCAGAGCTGGGTCACAGTTCCAGGAATGGCTTTGACACGCAGGCCACCTAATGTGATCTCCATCACTGTCAACATGTCCTTGCTCAAGGGAAGACGGGAGAAGCAATGGTTTCCTCCTGCCTTTGACACTGCCCTGTGCATAAGAGGGACCTTGTCATTAGGTCTTATTTAAAAGCTTTCCCCTTTTAATATGTAGTCAGTTCGGATCTTAATATGCAGCCAGTTCCATTAAAAACACGGGTGGACATTCATCAACAGAATGGGTGTTGTCGTGGCCAGGCTGTGGGCAGTGGTCCATCTGACTCGCTGGAAGGAGGCATCTGTCACCCACTGGCACAGGGGGCATTGCGTCGGTGCCGCCACTCTTTTACGTTGTCCCCATGCTCTGAGATCCTCCCAGCCACACGTCTGTACACTGTTGGTGTCACTTGGAGGAGCCAGGCTTGTGGCCAGCTGTTCTTTCTCCAGATGTTGCTAAGAGGCGAAAGTTGCTCACGTTCAGACACAAAGGGGTAAATCAAGTCTTCCATCTGTCTTCCGGGCCCCTCACAAAGGACAGTAGGCAACTGAGACTGGGGGCCCCAAAGGTTGGGGTGGTGCGTGCATGTTCTCGGTTGAGCCGCCAGCACCCTACAAGTGCTCAGCGTTGGAAGACATCCATCTCCGAGGCCCCCTCCCTTGAGCTGCATCCCATGAGGACAACAGGCAACATCCCATAAATCATCTCCGAATGAGCGTGTTCCCTGCACTCATCCATCATGCCTGGCTCTCCTCTGCTTGTTTTTAAAAGCTGTTAAACCAGAATCCATCACAGGGGATGCCGACACCTTGGGCTCAGCTGAACACAGCCTGCCTAAATCTGTGTGGAAGACCCCCTCCACCACCACATCAGCACCAAGGTCTCTTGGTGTGGGGAGGAGGGTGATCGTGGCTTTACCCAGAGATAGACCTCCCTGTTGTCTGTCTGTACAGAGCCTGCCCTGCTGCATGGCAGGGCAGTGGTGCCCATCTGACCCACACGGGCTTCCTGGGAGGGACTAATGCACTTCCCTGGGCTCCCTCTAGTACCTGATAGTTTAATTAGGGGAAAGGCACCGTGGTTACTCGTTTGTTGATAAATGTGCTTGGAGAGGAAGTCTCAGTGGTGTGGAGCTCAACCCCTTCACTTCTCTGAACGTTTTTATCACTAGAATGAGCACCGCGGTTACACTGAGCTCACCCCAGGGACCTAGACACCCGTGGTTGCGTTTCCCTTTCTCCACCCTGCCACCACCTCCTGACTTTCCCTCCCCCTCTTCTTCCTCCATCTCCCTCCACCTTCACCCCTCTCCTTTTCTGCCTTCTCTTTTCCTCTCTGCTCCTCTTTCTCTTCCCTTCCCTCTCTCCCTCAGCACCTCTATTGCAGGATTTTCTTCATTTTAAGTTTCTCTGTATCTTCTTTGACAGCCCCGCTAGCCCAGCTCCATGCTTAGCCTCACTATTCTGCTTTTCTCTGTGGTCCACAGTCAGGTGACATCTGAGGGGCGTCAGAGGGTGTGAGAAGGCACCAGATGCTGTCTTCTCCAGGAGAGCCTATGGCTGGAATCTTCTAGGCTTTGGGATGCTCCCCAAGTGACTGGTGTTGGGTCTGCTCCAGTAGCTGCCTGACGGTCCCTGGTCCCTAGACAGATGCCACAGGCCTTGGTGGCATTTGTAATATCTTCTCCCATCTGCCTTTAGCATCTCCTTTGCCTTGTATTTGTTAGTTCAAGGACAAAACTACTCACTGGTGTGGCTGTGACCCCTTTTAAAAAGTAGGAAACCAAGTCAATATGCTTTCCTCAATGGCCTTTGAGCTCTGCGGTGGAGCTAGAAAGGGGCCGGAAGGGTCACAGAGGATGCCAGGGAGTTTCCTGGGTCTCGACTCCTGGTGAAGCCGTCCAATTAGAGCGCATTAGTCATCAGGGTAATTAGCATTAATAACTATTAATCTGCTCCAGGTGCTGCTCCCACCCGGGAGTGGAGGCCTCTGTCCCTGGGCTGCCTTCTGAGGAGGGGGACAGGGTGGCAGCAAACCTCTGGGGCTCGGGGGGAGGGAGGGAGGGGGGGCTGTCACAAAAGGGCTGGTTGTGTCCAGGCTGCGTCTTACTGTCTGTCCTGTGGCTGCTGCAGCAGGAAATCTCAGCCTGGGTGGTTTAAAATGAGAACTCTGTATTCTCACTCTGTCCTAGAGGTCAGAAGCCCCAGTGT